CTCAAAGAAGTAATTCGCAACCTATCCTCCAAGGCCGATATAGCTGCCATACTTGACAGATTGGAAGTTTCCTTTCAAACCAAAATGACGGCCCTGGGGACTGATATTCGCCTGGGGGGGCGAGAAGGTCCAAGTACAGTAGACAGTGACCGTTCATACTTCCCACATATCGACTATGTACAGACAACTAGATGATGTTGACAACTGCCGAAATAATCTGAGGATAAAAGGGTTACCCGAGCAGGATCAGGAAAACTTGACATCCACACTAACTGATATGTTTAACCGTATATTGGGAAGACCAGCTGACACTCCACTAGTGCTAGACAGAGAACATAGAGCCCTGAAACCTAGAGGGTCTCAAAGGGACCAGCCATGAGATGTAGTGTGTAGGATTAATTATTACTCTCTTAAAGAGGACATTATTAGAGCCCTATGTCAAACCTCACAGCCACTAATGTACCACAATGATCCCATACAAATATTCACAGATTTATCCTGGAAAACTCTGCAGGCACGGCGCACTCTGTGATCGATCACGGATATTCTAAGGGCTGGGAACGTACTCTACAGATGGGGCTTCCCTCTGGCACTGATTGCCATGCATAATGGCAGAACACACTCCCTGGCTTCGGTGCAGGACGTTAATACATTCACACAAGCCATGGAGCTGCCAGATGTTCAAGTCCCCGACTGGTATGGTACCAGCCAAGCTACAACTCCCTTGCCACTTCAACAATGACAGAAATGGCAGACTCCATCCAAGAAGAGGAGGAACGACCCTTCCGAAGCATAACCAGGCCCGAACACGCCTAAAAGTATATCCAGGCATCGTTGAGGCTCCGGACCCTCATTGAATGCAGACCCCACTACCCATCATCCTTGAACGGTAACTCTACTATTCTTTCTTCACCCGGACTATGTTTTGCTTCAATAACTGTTGTCTGTAGAGAATCTGGCATGACTTACGGTGTTCGCACCACAAGGACAGACGTCCTCTTCAGTCACGGACTCAAGACTATAATTCCTCGGATCAGGACTACCCCTTCAATCTCGTGACTTGGCCCACAATGAACTAAGTTTAAAGGCCTCGTTACTGGAATTCAAGCGGGCCAGCTCACCTAAACTATTACCTATTCTGCTTCAGCTATTACACCTACTTCCCTAACTGGCTACTGAGCTTGGGAGCACGTAAGATAAAAGTGCTAAAAATGTTGATGATACATAGACATAGATTATTTTTATTGTCTTTTGTTTATACATGGCCTAGTGTCACGTAATCTTCTCCACGTGACTAAAAAGGGAAATAACTTCCTTCCGAGGATAGAGGGGAGTGCCACTCGCCGGTCTTCTGCTATCATGCCTGGCTTTTGCGGCATGTCGGTGGATGCTGTGTTATATAGCCCAACATCCATCCATGGTAAAGATGATGTGGACGTGCGGGTAACGTCATGCAAAAGACGAACACACACGTTTTGGGGTCAGGGGCTAGGTACAGCCAATCGGATCTGCAAAAGGGTTATTTAAACTCTCATATTCCCTTAGCTCATTGCCCTGTTGTTGTTTCCCTCAGATGTTTAACCGAGAGTGTGTTCCTGATTGTGTTTTTCTGTTTTTTAACTTTGGCTTCGTTTTGACTTCCCTGATTTCTGGCACCCTTGACTTTTGGCTTTTCCTTATCGCTGTGTATCGTTCTGTGTCCCTGACCTTGGCTAGTTTTCTGACTATTCTCAGGTACGTTAAGTCCAGCCATTCTAAGGTCCGGTAAGACATTACCCTTAGTTCTAGGGTGTGATACTATTCTGCGTGCTGGATCAATATAATCCTGACACCTAGTTCACAGACCCCAAAGCATTGATACACACTACTATGGGTCTCATTGCTTTGCCATCCATCTAATGTAATCGTATTTCCCATACGCCTACTCAATCTAGGATTAGTGTTGACGAAGTATATCGCACTTAGACTAAAAGTATTGCCTGTTATGTAGGTCCTGAATTATGCTGATTAAGTTAAATCAATGATACTTACCTCATACCTAAGATTTTACATTCCACACCTCACATGCCTGAGATGGGATACCCGACTAAGATTATCAGGCACAGCCATACCCAGCAGCTTTCTATGTATCACATAAATGCAAACCACAATATAGGAGCAAATGACACAAAATACAAATGAAGAGCATCTAGGTGTTATGTTTATGTAAAGGTTTTATACAAGCTTTGTTTACCATTACCTGCTTCTAATGCAGACAATTTCCATCAATCACAATGCTATGATACATTTTTATGCAGAGGTTAGATCTGAGGTCTTAATTCCAATATTCTAGGCCCCACACTCTTCCCTTGTTATTAAATGATGCACGTGCATCTGAATCTCTACATTTAGCATTTCAGCAATACAATACTTTGACGAAAATACCACACACACAACGATACCCACAGTGGTGTGGGAGGCCCATAAGTGTGTGATAAGGGGACATTTCATTGTTTTAGCTTCCGAACTCAAACATCAACGTACGGAACAGGCAAACTAACTTTAACTGACATCAGATCTCTAGAAAATACTTATAAACAGAGCAATACCCTAGAAACGTACAGACAACTGACTAAAAAGAAATCTGAACTACAACAGCTCATGAATGCCCAAATAAAACGCCAAATGTTATTCTCTAAATATTCCTATTATTCCAAAGGTGGCAAGTGTGGACGTCTCCTGGTTAACGCATTTAAAGATGCTAGACAGACCACATTTACCTCCAAGATAAAAACACAATCAGGGGACATATCCCATAAAATCACAGACATTCTAAAGGCATTCCAAGAGTTCTATACTGAGTTATATAACATTCGTACGACCTCTCCAATGATTCCAGAATTGGAAAAATACCTAGCCCCACGTATCAAACAGACAATACCCAAAAATCTATTACAACACCTAGATTTGCCGGTACAGATAGCGGAATTTCTACTAGCAGTCAAATACTCCCCACTAGGAAAAAGTCCTGGGCCAGATAGCTTTACTGCCAAATATTACAAAACATTCTCCAAACATCTCGCCACACCATTTGTTACCACATTTAATTCACTCACTACCTTCCTGAAGCTCCCAGACTCTGCTCCAGAGGATTAAATTACTCTTATTTACTGATTAATACGGACCTCAAACTTTTTACAAAAATCTTTGCTGCCAGACTATGCCCTCTCCTACAAGGACTAGTCCACCCTGACCAGACAGGCTTCGTGCCCAGATGCGAGGCCAAAAACACCACCAACTATTGAATTTAAAACCAATACATGCCCAACATCCCACTATCATACCAACTCTTAAGATATGGATGCAAATTAGACACTCACAGAGTATAGCCCCACACCCGTCCCCTCTGTACCCAATCACACTTTCCACCAGGCACCCACCAATCTTCATTTGCATCTTACCAATTCACACACTACTTAACACTGCGCACCGTGTTACAAACCCGAGGTATTAATCTAGCAAACACTACGGAGGCTGGAGTACCTCAGTTGGCATTACAATGATCCCAACATTTCCAGCTTGTACATTTTCTTTCTTCCACTCCCGACCTACTCAAAGGAAATAGACAACTTACCACATTTGAAAATCACTGTGCTTCCAGCAACATAAAAACGAAAGATTTATCGGTCATGTATAAACTATTAATGAAAGAAAACTCTCCCTCCCTACCAAATACACGAGCTCTTGGGAATCTGAACTCAACCTTTAACTGACGCATAATAACTGGACGCACATATTCATCAACATTCACGAGACCTGTGTTAGTACACACACTCAAAAAGGTAACTTCAAAAGATTGTCCAGGTGGCACTTCTCAACATCTAAAATACATAAAACTTTCCCAAATGCATCAGAATCTTGTTGGAGATGCAAGTTCCCCGAAGGTACACTGGGTCATATCTTCCATTACCAAAAACCAATCCCCAAACTTACAAAATTGTTGATCACACATTTGGTGACGGCGGCAAACGCGTTTATCCCAACGCTCTGGAAACAACCAAGAGCCCCTACAGTTAGGGAATGGATTCACAAAGTCGAGTCCATTCGTGTAATGGAAGAAACCCATTATTCTTTGACACCCACTTATGGACTATACGGATCCATGGATCCATTTTCTGAAGGTAGACAAACAGGTAGGCACAAGACCGACACACCTGAAATGAGGGTACAAGAAAATCACCCCCGCACACGTTTACTTACTGATCCATATGTATTATTAGTTCTCAGTTCTTCTTTTGATTTATGTTTTATTGTTTCAAAAGTGAATTCATGTTACCTTGCCAGGGGTTGCAACTCCTCATAAATTTGTTACTGCAAAGTATCCTGGGAGTCCTTTGTATACTGTACAAACTGATAACTTAAATAACCTGACCAGCACAATGTTAATTGATACTTTGCGACCAATGATACACTGTACTGTAATGGTAACATACTTAAACATACTTTTGAAAATGAAATTTAAAAATAAAAAAAATAATGGTTGAAAGGGAACAAAGATGGAGGCACAAATTGCAGGATAAGGAAGTGTGGAATTCTAAATTTATTTGTATTCTTCATATCTCAAATCACAAATAAATATTTGTAAAATGTAGGCAATTCTCAAAAAATTTTCACTTCATACTAGTGACTGAGGAATGAAAATGTAGCCACTGCGAGTAGAAAATAACCCCTGTGAACTTGCAATAATGTAACATTTGATCAGGCTAGTAGAAAAGGATTTAAAATTTTAAGAAAGATTTTAAACAAAATATAAAGGAAGGAGAGGGGGGACATACAATTCCGTTTTAATTTGTGTACATGATTTGGGTCCTTGTAAAAACATGTTATGGACCACTTTGTCAGACCATATAAAGGGTCACACCCATCTGATGTGGTCAGCTTTTTCAGAAAATAATTATTATTGTGTCATCAGGATTTATTGAACCAATCTGGCAAGAAACTGGAATTTAATGCATGAAAAGATGCACGGCTGTTGGAAAACGCCTGGGAATGGAGTTATCACGTCTTCAAGCAATCTGTGATTATTATCACCTATTTTTTAAAGTAAGTTTACTGAAACACATTGTTCATTTCATAGTAGACTTATGTGCGAAAAACAGGCAACGTTACTGGCATTTTTTGAAAATTTTTTTTATTACTTTCTTAGCTATAAAAATCAGTTAAGAAGACTAAAGGTGGACTATTTGGAATATTGGTTCCCATCCCAGTCTTTAAGGCACACCAACAGGCTATGTTTTTGGATTAATCCAATGTAATAAATATTAACGTGAGATGTTGTACTAGGACAGTGATGGCGATCCTATGGCACGCGTGCCACAGTTGGCACGCCGAGCCCCCTCTGTGGGCACGCGGCCATAGGTCGCCGGAGAGAGGGAGGGTGCGCAAAGCCGGAGTGACCGGCAGGAGGCGAGCGCATAGCGCACAGCGCTCACTCCTGCCAGGCACTCTGTGTAGCGTGGCCGAGCGCATAGCGGTACAGGAACTTATGTTTCCTGTACCCGGGCGGACGGAAATGAAGTGCTCACAGAGAGAGCACTTCCTGTCCGCCGGGTACAGGAAACTGAGCTCCGCGCTCGGCCACGCTACAAGGTAGGAGATCAAGGGAGGGAAAACTGAGGAGGTATGGGGGAGGAAAACTGAGGTATGGGGGGAGGAAGAAAACTGAGGAAGGTATGGGGGGAAAACTGAGAGGTATGGGGGGAGAAAACTAGGGAGTATGGGGAAAAGAAAACTGAGGGAGGTATGGGGGAAAAGAAACTGAGGGAGGTATGGGGGGAGAAAACTGAGGGAGGTATGGGGAAAGAAAACTGAGGAGGTATGGGGAGGGGAAGAAAAAACTGAGGGAAGTATAGGGGAGGGAAAAACTGAGAGTATAGGGGAAAGAAAACTAGGGAGGTATGGGGAAAGAAGCGAAGGAAGTATGGGGGAAAAGCACTGAGGGAGAGTATAGGGGGAAAAAGCAGGGAGTATGGAAGAAAACTAGAGGAGAGTATGGGGAAAAGAAACTGAGGATGTATGGGGGGGAGAAAACTGAGGGAGGTATGGGGGAAAACTGAGAGGTATAGGGGAAAAACAAAAAGGTATGGGGGAGGGAAGAAAAACTGAGGTATGGGGGAAAACTGAGGGAAGGTATGGGGGGAAAGCTGAGAGTTATGGGGGAGAAAAAACTGAGGAGTTATGGGGGAGAAAAACTGAGGGAGGTATGGGGGAGAAAAACAGGGAGGTATAGGGGAGGAAGAAAACTGAGGAGGAAGTATGGGGGAGGGAAGAACTGAGAGAGAGATATAGGGGAAAAGCGGAGTATGTTATAGCAGAAGAAAAAATATGGGGAGGGATGGGGGAAAAGAAAACAGTGGGGGAGGGAGAGAGGGGACCACAGCACCCTACCCTACATATCACACCACACATATCACCCCACACAAAGACACACACACACATCACCCACACACACACACACACACACTGCCCCCCACACACACACACCACCACATCTCCCCACACACACACACACCACCCCACACACACACCACCACATCTCCCCACACACACACACACACACACACACACACACCACCCCCCCCACACACATACCACCCCATATCACCCCACCCACAAACACACCACCCCACATACACCACCCCACACACATCACCCCACCCACACACACACACCACCCCACACAAACCCATCACCCCACACACAAACACATACACTGTACCCATCAATGCAGTGTGTGTACACTCAGCAGTCTGTGTGTGTGTGTGTGTGTGTGTGTGTGTATTTAGCAGTCTGTGTGTGTACTCGGCAGTCTGTGTTTGTGTGTATTTAGCAGTCTGTGTGTGTATTCAGCAGACTGTGTACTCAGCAGTCTGTGTGTGTATTCCGCAGTCTGCTAAATACCCACAGACAGACTGCTAAATACACATACAGACAGACTGCCGAGCACACACACAAACTGCTTAATACACACACAGAGATGTTAATTAGTTCGGACAACTGTATGAGTTGTTTTTTCTAAACTTAAACCTCAGTATTCAAGTTTAATTGCCGTTTTGGCACTTTGAGGAAAAGAAAATTGGCATGTATTACGGTTTGGGCACTCGGGCTCAAAAAGGTTCGCGATCACTGTACTAGGACAAACTTGTGTGTATTACAATTTCACTTTTAATATAATTAATTAATTAAATACTATGAAAAAATATATATATACATATTCTCTCAACCTTCTGGGTGTATTCCTCAGTGTATTCCTCAGTCTCAGGTCTTCTACCAAAGACCTGAGCTCCAAGTGCTCCTATCACAAATGAGACTACTACTGCCTTCATGTTTCACATCCTCATTCTCAACATTTATGGTACTTTCCATCTGGATTCATGCAGGTCCAGCTGATAATCTGTGCAAGTAATCCAAAAAGGGGATAAACAAAGGCAAGATCAAGTAAAATTCGAATAATACAGGCAGCAAGATTCAAAAGCGGTGAGACAAGTCATAAGGTGGCCAATGATAGCTCAGCTGTTTTGTGATTAAATAGGGCGCCCAATTTGTGCCTCTATAGCAGTGATGGCGAACCTATGGCACGTGTGCCACAGGTGGCACGCCGAGCCCCTCTGTGGGCACGTGGCCATAGGTCGCCGGAGAGAGGGAGGGTGCGCAAAGCCGGAGTGACCGGCAGGAGGCGAGCGCATAGCGCACAGCGCTCCCTCCTGCCAGGCACTCTGTGTAGCGTGGCCGAGCGCATAGCGGTACAGGAACTTATGTTTCCTGTACCCGGGCGGACGGAAATGAAGTGCTCACAGAGAGAGCACTTCCTGTCCGCCGGGTACAGGAAACTGAGCTCCGCAGTGCGCTCAGCCACGCTACAAGGTAGGAGATCAAGGGGGGGGAGGGGGAGAAAACTGAGGGAGGTATGGGGGAGGAAGAAACTAGAGGTATATAGAGAGGGAAAGAAACTGAGGGGAGGTATAGAGGGAAAAGCAGGAAGGTAGGGAGGGAAAACTAGGAAAGTATGGGAAAAGAAAAGCAGGGAGGAGGTATAGGGAGAAAACTAGGGAGATATGGGGGGGGAAGAAAACTGAGGGGAGATATGGGGGAAGAAAACTGAGGGAGGTATGGGGGAAAGAAACTGAGGAGGTATAGAGGGGAGAAACTGAGGTATGGGGGAAGCAGGGAGGTATGGGGGAAGAAACTGAGGGAGGTATGGGGGGAGAAAGCAGAGTAGGGGGAGAACTGAGGGAGGTATGGGGGGGGGGGGAGAAAAGAAGCGAGGGAGTTATAGGGGAGAAAGCAGGGAGGTATGGGGGGGAGAAAACTGAGGGAGGTATGGGGGGAGAAAACTGAGGGAGGTATAGGGGGAGAAAACTGAGGGAGGTATGGGGAAGAGAAAACTGAGGGAGGTATGGAGGGGGGAACTGAGGGAGATATTTGGGGAGAAACTGAGTGTGGGATGGGAGAAAAAAAATGAGGGAGGGATGGGGGGAAGGAAAACAGTGGGGGTGGGGAGAGGGGGGACGACATACACACAGCACCCCTGCCCTACACATATCACCCCACACAAAGACACACACACACCACCCCCCCACACACACCACCACACATCACCCCACACACACACACACCACCCCCCCACACACACACCACCCCACATCACCCCACCCACACACACACACCACCCCACACACACACATCACCCTACACACAAACACTTACACTGTACCCATAAATGCTGTGTGTGTACACTCAGCAGTCTGTGTGTGTGTGTGTATTTAGCAGTCTGTGTGTGTACTCGGCAGTCTGTGTTTGTGTGTATTTAGCAGTCTGTGTGTGTATTCAGGAGACTGTGTACTCAGCAGTCTGTGTGTGTATTCCGCAGTCTGCTAAATACAGACAGACTGCTAAGTACACAGACAGGCTGCTAAATACACATACAGACAGACTGCCGAGCACACACACAAACTGCTTAATACACACACAGAGATGTTAATTAGTTCGGACAACTGTATGAGTTGTTTTTTCTAGACTTAAACCTCAGTATTCAGGTTTAATTGCCGTTTTGGCACTTTGAGGAAAAAAAAATTGGCATGTATTACGGTTTGGTCACTCGGGCTCAAAAAGGTTCGCCATCACTGCTCTATAGTATTGAAACGCTGCACTGAGTCAATCAGATGGCCTCTCTGAGACTGTCTGATTGAAATAGCAGTGTTTTACTTTGCTATATACATACTGCACATTCAAAATAAATAAACCCAGATATGTACAAAAGAGAGTACGCGTGTGTTACAGCCTACTGAATCAGTTGTATTTTGGTTTCTTTTGTAAGTTTACTAAATGCAGGGTACCAGGGACCCTAATTATTCTCCAGGCCTAAATGGATCCCTCTACACACTCAGGCCAAAATCTCCTTCTTCCAAGCATGTATTGACCCATCCATCTGCCTGTGTTGCCTCCAAATTCTGCCTTCACAAAGGCCCTGCCTTCACTTTGCCTATAAACCTTACAAAACTAACCATCTAAACCTGCTTAGGGAAGAAAACCCCCAGCTCCTTCAGAGCTAAAAATAAAATGGCGATTCTTTAAGATCAGAGATGCTATACAAACTATGAAGCACTCCACATTTTGTGTATTGCATGTTTACTTCACTTGCTTTCCAGACTAGACTAAGCTCATTGATCCACCAGTGTTACTATAAATAATTCTATTAGTAAAAAACTTACTAACCATCTTTTGTTTCAGGCTCTGAACTGGTACAATCAGGTTCTAGACCAGCTTTCATTTAAAGATTCTTTCTGGAAGGAGAATCCATTGAAAGATAGTGATGCAAGACCCCTGGCACATACTAGTTTGCTGTGGAGAAGACAGTGTCAAATAGTTTTATCACAGATGCCTCCACAGAAACCAAGTGAATGGGCTGAGCTCATCACACTCTCTAAACTGATTCCAGAAAATCAGAAGACACAAGGGATACAGCTAGCTTCAAGGTATTGGATATTTTATATACATATACTGATATATAAAAAGGCAAACATCCCCTGCACTCACGCTTTAACCGCTTCACTGCCGCGCGCATCAACCAGAGCTCCACATGACACAGAATCCAAAAACAAATGGCTGCTCACCGGTCTTTAAAAAATGAAACTTTATTTAATTAAGTTTAAAAATAGTGACCAACGTTTCAGTCCCCGTTCGGGACTTTCTTCAGGGTCAAAAATAACAGGACAACCTTAATTAAATAAAGTTTCATTTTTTTAAAGACTGGTGAGCAGCCATTTCTTTTTGGATTCTATACTGATTATATATATATATATATAAAATTAAAATGGAAAGTATTAGTACAGAAGTATGAGTAACCCCCATCTCACTAACCCCCAGTCTGTGTTAGAAGCAATATTACACATAAGAGTACTTGGTGCTACCATGGCTTATAACCAGGAAAAGGAATGTTATGGTTAATAAAAACAAATGTTCTCTTTTTTAACAATGGGTAATACTCAAGAAATAACTGAGGGAAGGTATTAAAAAGCAGGCACAAATACATGCAAACGCACTGTATTTTAGAGATCAAAAGAAAAGCGCATCAAATGTCATCAAGTCTTAGAAGCCATCAAATCACTTTCCACAAAGTGTTCATGGCAAGCTGATCTAACGTCCAACAGATAATGTTTGAAAATACATCCCAAATCCAATAACAAGTGGTAGTAAGTTACTTTGCTTAAAGCATAGCCAAATCATAGCAGAAGAATACAATTTTTCAGTTTTACTCTCCTTATCCACTGCCATGCCATCAGCTTGATGCATTGGATTCTGAGAGAAGAGATGGGAATCTAATACATAAGTTCTTTGCAAAGGCTGAGGTGGGCAATAAGTAACGATCAGAAAGATCTTGGATTCCATTAGTCTTATTTGTCTTAGCAGCAGAACTAAAAGAGAAAATGGTAGAAAATATTTTATATTCTAATATATTTAGGAAGTATTTTGTAATTTCTGTAACTACAAAATACTATATGAGTTAATCACAAAACAAATAAAAAGCACAATGGAAGAACAATTTAATTTCTTGTGTGATTCAGAATACTTAATGTGGTGCAAAACCACTAAATTCGTTTTATTCTCAGATCAGGTTATTAGTGACTAATATAGAGGGATAAAGTAAGAGCATTAGAGGGATAAAGTAAGAGCATTAAAAACAATTTATGTTCATATATTTACATAACCTCTATATAATATATATGGGTTTTCACTGCTCTTACCTTTTTCCCTTTTATAGGTTACTTTTTCTTACTTGATCTGTACTGTACTGTTTTTTATAAAGCGCCAACAGATTCCGCAGCGCTGTACAATTAGTGGAGAACGTACAATATACACATAAAAAGAGGTCGAGAGAGCCCTGCCCGTAAGCTGATATCTAGCCATTGGAGCTCTTTTTTACAAAGTGCTTAGTTTTATGGCCCGTGAGCTTACAATCTAAAGGATACAATGGGGATTTGAGACAAGAGGTAGCAGGGGAAATTTGGTGGTGATGGCTGAAAGAGTTAACAGAGAAGCAGCTATTGGTAAGATGTTAGGGGAATGAAGAGTTAATTGAGTGAGAATCTCAAACAGCTGGAGGAGCATGCTATATATTTAGGGGGAGCCTGGGTGGGAAGTGGTGAGAAAAAAAATGATCTGTGAACCAAATGGTACTGCACAATATATAATTAGTTTTTTAATTCATCAACAATAGGATTTACGAAATTTGTCAGAACCGAACGCCGGTCAAAACAGTTTCTCAGAATGTCTGGAATGGGAGACTGGCATCCCTAGAAAACCAACATCCTGTACAGCATGTACCCCTGCCCCATCCTGTTGCATGGCCAACCCCTGACCTGCTCCAGCCAGCTGTCACCTGAACACTGGAAGGATGTATACCACAAGCATCCCTTGTATCACCAACACTAAGGGGCCCTGAGACAACATTCCATGCATTCTCAATGAGCCTATCTTCTCTCTGCTCAACACCTTACAGAGGAGAGACTGTGACATGCTGTGGGCCCCAGCCACCCCACTTCTCACACAGCAACAATCCTGAACACCCATATGCCAACAGAGAGGCTTCTGCGTACCTGCTGTAACATAAATGCCATATATCCACTGTGTATGCCCAAGAGTCGCCGAAAGCAAATCTCCCAGTCACTAAGGGGGATACTCCAGTGGGTTGCCTTAATCTTGAGTCATATCCTAGAGCATACCAATGTGGAGAAGTTGAACTCCCATGGGGCAAGCCTATAAGAAATAAGTATTGGTTAAAGACCTATCTGTCCTAAGGGCAGAAACAAAATGATTGGTGGTAGAAAGCACAGGGGGCACTTATATGCTCTTTATATTAATCAGTGTTTCTGTATAACTGTCGAATTAGAGGAACCACACATCCTTGTGTTACAAAGGATAGAGCCAGAAAAATATTGTTTTCAAGAATTGCCATATTTAATATGATTGTGTTGTGTGTGTTGAATTATTGAACATAACCTTAACATTTTAATCAGTAGCATCACTTTGATGAACAAAGAGAGATATATAAATAATTTAAAATTGGCAATGGGCATTAAAAAAAAGCAATGCTAGTGATATTACTACTTTTAGCATACACTGTTGATAGAAAAGGAAATAAAGAAGGACTTTAAAATGAGGGTAGTTACAAAGAAACACAAGTCAGTGACAATTACAACAGTCCTGATTAAACTCTATGGGACGTGCTCAGGACCAGACTGGGAACGTAAAGCAGCCATGGAAAAAAATTCTATATCAGCCCCATAATGCGTTGCGCCATCATAGTGTGCAAATATGTTAGCTGAAAAAACAAAAACTGAAAACTATTACTCAAATATTTAAAAAAGCACTCATAGGGCTTCAAAATATACAAAAAGCTAATTTATTTTAAGCAGACTGCATTTGCATATAATCAACTACCTTGACATATTAAGAAAAGTTTGGTAATGGGACTGAAATTATGAATGTATGCTATTGCACAGTAGAAAAAAAAAAGTTATCTTGTTTATTTTGAAGTAATAAGAGTGTTCACTTCACTTTGGCTGAGATCATCAATCTTGATGATCTCAGCCAATTCATGCTTTCCCATAAGAAAGCATTGGGAGGCTATTGTGCATGTGTGGCAAAATGCTGCGCTTCACTGCACCAATGAGCATCTCCTCATAGAGATGCATTGAATCAATGAATATCTATGGGAATCATTTAGTGCCTACATACAGAGCGAGGAGACGCACAACATAGGTGCTGCACACTGAGCAGCATCGGACTTAGAAGCAGTTCTAGTGGCCATTTGAGTGACCTTCACTAGAGATTTCCTAGGCAGCAATATAAGCACTGCCTTTTCTCTGAAAAGGCAGCATTTACAGTGCTCAGCCTACAAGGACAGGCTATAGACACTAGAACCATTAAACTGTAATAGTTCTGGTGACTATAGTGAAACATAGAAACATAGAAACATAGAATGTGACGGCAGATAAGAACCATTCGGCCCATCTAGTCTGCCCAATTTTCTAAAAACTTTCATTAGTCCCTAGCCTTATCTTATAGTTAGGATAGCCTTATGCCTATCCCATGCATGCTTAAACTCCTTTACTGTGTTAACCTCTACCACTTCAGCTGGAAGGTTATTCCATGCATCCACTACCCTCTCAGTAAAGTAATACTTCCTGATATTATTTTTAAACCTTTGTCCCTCTAATTTAAGACTATGTCCTCTTGTTGTGGTAGTTTTTCTTCTTTTAAATATAGTGTCCCTTTAATACAATGTTTTCTCTCCCCTGTCGACTCTTCGGCATAGAAGAATGGAGTTGTAGGGAGAGCAAGAGACACAGGTGAAGATGCATTTATTTTTTGTCTTTCTCCCCACAAGCTCCTTTCATATGTGTCTTAGCCCTAGCCCCTTTGTCTCATACTCTTCTTCCCCAGCCCTTCTGTAAGTCTCTTTCTCCCCATACCCCTTTGTGTCTTATTTCTCCCCAGCCTTGCCGTGTGTCTTTTTTTCTCCCCAGCCCCTCCGTGTCTCATTACCCCCACCCAGCCTTCCATGTGTCTCATTACCCCCACCCAGCCCTCCATGTGTCTCATTACCTCCAAGCCTTACATGTGTCTCATTACCCCCACCCCCTCCAAGTGTCCCTATAGCCCCTCTCCCAGCCCTCCATGTGTCCCATTAGCCCCCCTCCCAGCCCTCCATGTGTCCCATTAGCTCTCCCTCCCACCCCCATGTGTCCCGTTAATCTCCCTCCCAGCTTCCCATGTGTCCCATAAGCCTCCCTCCCAGCCCGTCATGCGCCCTACTAGCTCGCCTCTACCTCCCAGTGTCTCATTATTCCCCCCCCTCCCCATACCTTGTGGTGGCCAAGCAAGCAGATCGGAGGTAGAGGAGTCTCCTGCTCACTGTACCCGGTCTGACAGGAAGCAGTTTCTCTCTGAGCACTTCCTGTCAGACCGGTACGTGAGCAGGAGCTCCTCTACCTGCCGTCTGCCTGCTTCACCCATCACTTAATAAGCTCTACAGTCAAGCAGCGCCTCTGGCTGGGGACTCTGATTTTTCAAATCACTGCAGCCTACCTCGCTCTCTCTCCCTGCAGCTAGCACACTGCAGCCAGTGAAGTTAGCCTGCCCCTTCTGATGGTGTCATGAGGAGAGAGCGTGACTTCCACTGCTGTTCTCCCAGATTCCCCAGCGGATCTGACCTGCAAGCTCCTGCTCCTGTCCCACACTACCACCATGGATAATGTTTTGGAATACACTTTTGTTTTGTTTTGAATCAAAAACATTTTAAGCTCCTGCTATGTAAATTGAACTTTAATCATATACAGGAGGCTCCTGCACATTTAACAAGCTAATTACAGAGCAGGAGATAAGAAACTGTAAATGAAACATAACTTAAAATAAAGGAAGTGTACATTAGGAGACGCTTTACAGGAAATGTTTAGGAAGGCTGTGCAAGTCACATGCAGGTGATTTAAGTGATTTAAACAAAGTGAATTAACTCCTAAATGGCAGAGAATTGAGCAGTGAGATTGCAGCGGCATGATCTATACACCAAAACTGCTTCATTAACCTAAAGTTGTTTGGGTGACTATAGTGTCCCTTTAAAATGCTCAAAACTCTGAATTAAAGGACATTGCTAATTGACTCCAAACACTATAACCACTTCAATTAGATGACGCGATTACAGTGCCTAAAGTGACCCTTTGACTAATTTCCTCTATTTCTTTTAACTTCCCTTTTCATTTCCCACTCCCTCCCTCTTCCCTCATTGTGGGTCTTACACTTCCATGCCAATTTCCTCTTAAATGCCCAGGTCGATTGCTCTCATTTTCTATTATGTATTCCTCATTAATGATTCTCTGTCTCCACAAGTACAGTTCAATAGCCTAATAATATTGTCACAAGACACAGCACATCAATCACCTTAATACATAAAATATATTTTGGCATCTAGGATTAGCAGTTACATTGTAGGCAGGCTCCGAGTGACAGTAATGATACCAAAGACAAAGGTTCACCCTTACTAACTGGATCATGGAAATCATGGAAAAAAATAACTCTCCTAATAATATTGAAAATTACACTTTTGAGTAATTGGTATTTTCAAAAGTAACACTTTTGTTCTCCAACTACCTACAGATGCCTATTTTTGTGGAATATTATGACAAACCACTCCGAACTTATTCAGATTAAAGATGTGCAGAAGATTATATCTTGGCAGGAAAATATTTTCAAGTCTTCTTTAACAGCTACAAGGCCATTTCCTGAAAACCCTGGCCCTGCCCCTGAGCAGCTCAAGATTGCAAAAAATAACATGCATTCCTGGGATACTGATTGTGCAAGGAATAGGAATCCATTGACTAAGCAAACGCATTGTAAAGTAAATGAGTACAATTGTCTCCCATATCTAATGATATCTAAAAATGATATTGGTTGTCATTTAACCGGAAGTCACATTGTGTTTCCACCAAGCAATTCTTTGAACTTTTGGTTGAGTTTGCCATTGATGGATTTGTCAAAGTCTAAAAGCAAAACAGTTGATTATCAACCCAAGAAAAATACTGTCAGTGCAACAAGAGATGTTCTTAAACAAGCACAAGAAAAGTCATATTTAGAAGGTTACTATAATGATGGATTGATGCACTCCAAATCCATACATTGTCGTGGCTACCAACCTTATGTAAAGGATACCGTTAATTACTGTGATTGTGGTGTCCAAACCAATACTGTATTCTATGCTCCTGAATTGTGTTCTACACAGAAAGATCTAGAAAGAGATTTGTCGTTCTGTAGTAGAAGAAACAATCAACAATTGGGCCCAAAGGAAAAAAACATTCCAAGCAAGCATGAATTTACTTTTCCCAGAAGCTTGGAGGTTGTAATAGACCAGTAAGTATATATTTATTATTAGTTAGTCTGTGTTCACTGACGTCTGTTTGCAGATATTAAACTGGAAACAAAAAATGTAGAATGTGACGGCAGATTTTTAAACCTTTGCCACTCTAATTTAAGACGATGTGATCTTGTTGTGGTAGTTTTTCTTCTTTTAAATATAGTCTCCTCCTTTAGTGTACTGATTTCCTTTATGTATGTAAATGTTTCTATCATACCGTTTGACAAAGCCCTGTAGGTGGGGCGAAATGCATTACGGACCCGGAACCAGGAAGTGATTTGGAGACAGTCGGCAACAGCAGCCAGGATAGCAGCAGGAAGATTTTTTTTTTACATTACATGAGTATATGGAACTTTCTTTGCGGTTTCCTGAGGCTGGTGAGTGGACTAACTATCTCCACAACAAGTTTTGCTGTTTTTTAATTGCTATTAATAAAGTATACTTACCTGAGATCCGGATTGCAAGCTTCCTTTCCACGGATCCCACGCACTCTAGGGGCTGAACCTCCCTGAGTGCTATAGCAACGAGTGGTACTTTTACCACTCCAATCTTTTGAGTGTAATACCTAAAGGGCACCTCTGTTTGCTTTATTTTATATATTTATAAGTGAATTACTATGCTGCACTAGGAGCTCTCTTTCTGTTTTTGTCTCCTTAATAGGTGTCAGAGTGATTTCCATGTTTGCAAGTATACCTA